GGCACATGCACACGCGCCCAAAAACCAGGAAGTTCATCGCGTATGTCGCAGTGCCTGGCAATGCCGCCCACTAGCAGTAAATGTACTGTTAGCAGGTGGCAAGTGTTTACTTTCACTTAGCACTTCAAAATCACCAATCATACAAGAACAAAAGCTGTATCAGAGAATAAAAGAAAGAAAAACAAACTAGCAAAAGAAACAATTTTAGGCTTTCAATGCTACTTGTTATATGTGAGTTGGGTGCACTTCAACTGTAAAAAAAGGCATGTTAAAGTGGTTGTCACATATATCCAGTGAAGTGACTGGCCTCAGGTGATACACAGAGATATAACAAATCCTCCTACATAAGTTGTATCTGTTTATCTACAGAAATTTTTCCCCTAGACCCATTCAAAGTACAGGATCTCTCAGCTCTGAAAAGTAGGGGGCGGAGAGCTGAACACCCCCCTTCACACAGCACACAGGAACAGAGCTGAAGCTGTCAATCTGCTGGAGATTACTCCCCGTCACCATTTTGTTTCTTGGTGTCAGGAAAACCTTTCAGAAGTGATTCATACTGATAGCAGAGGAATGAGGCAGCGGACAGAAATTACACTTAGTGCTTTGGATTGAGACAAGTACACGCTATAGAGGGATATGCTTTGTTCATATTTCATGTCTGAAGTTTACAACCACTTTAAACCTACAGAAGTCATGTACTGTATATGTCAGTTCAAATCCCAACCAGGACACTAATGCCTGGAGATTGCGTGTTTCTTCCTGTGTCTGCGTCACTTTCCTCCAGCTACTCTGGTTTTCTTTCACACTCCAAAGACATTCTGGCAGGTTAATTGGCCCCTGTTTGTTGTATGAATGTGAGTTAAAAAGTGGTTCTAAAGGCTTAAGGTTTTTTTTACCTTCATGCATTCTATGCATGAAGGTAAAAAATCCTTCTCTGTGCAGCAGCCCTCCCTAATACTCACCTAAGCCCCCTCTCAATCCAGCGATGTGCACTGGAGTCTCGGCTATCCTGGGACTGCCTCTTCTCAATGGCTGAGGCAGAAGCAGGAGCCATTGGCTCCCACTGCTGTCAATCACAGCCAGTGAGCCAATGAGAACTGAGAGGGGGTGGGGGGCCGAGTGTGGCTCCATGTTTGAATGGACACACGGAGCAGTGGGTGCCAGGAAAGCCTGCAGGGACCCAAGAAGAGGAGAATCCAGACTGCTGTGTGTAAAACCACTGCACACAGCAGGTAAGTATAGATATGTTTGTTATTTGTTTTTTAAATGAGCCTTTAGAATCATTTTAAAGATCTTAGATTATAAACTCCTTGAGCGGTGACTAAAGGTACATTTGTTAGGTACATCTTAATGCCCTGTGTGGTCTCAGAGATGGTATTCTGCATACAAGGGTTTTAACAAGTGGTTATTTGAGTTACTGTTGCCTTTTTATAATCTCGAACCAGTCTGCTCATTCTCCTCTGACCTCAACAAGGCATTTTCATCCATACAACTGCCACTCACTGGATATGTTCTTTTTTTCGTACCATTCTCTGTAAACCCTTTGGTTTTACGTGAAATGGTTGTGCTTGAAAGTCCCAGTAGATCAGCAGTTTTGAACTACTCAGACCAGCCCGTCTGGCACCAACAACCATGCCACGTTCAAAGTCACTTAAATCCCCTTTCTTCCCCATGCTTATGTTCGGTTTGAATTTCAGCAAGTTGTCTTCACTACGTCTAGATGCCTAAATGCATTGAGTTGCTGCCATGTGATTGGCTGATTAACAATTTTTTGTTAACAAACAACTGAACAAGTGTACCTAATAACGTGGCCAGAAAGTGCATATGTAAAGCGCTGCATAAATACCTGTAATAAATAATAAATAAATATAATGGTGCTCATATATAGGTAAATTCAGCAAAAGACATGGCATTGTCCTTCCCGTAAAAAGTTATAAACTGTACAGGGCAGTCTGTGCTGTTCAGGAACTATTAGTCCCAGTTTTTACCACAGGTCATCTTAGCTACAATATATGGCTATTAAAATAATTGACAATAATTTTTTACTATTTTATTTTTAAAGTTGTGCTAGAAGTAGTGTCCTTATGGACTGGACAGCTACTCTTCAAAGAGAAAGTTCAACCTTTTAATATTTTTCTGCAATATGGACACTGAATGGTCAGGTAAAATGTTTTAATGTTTGCAGGTGTTTAAACTAATCCTTACATTACTTGTATAAAATATTTTAGAAATAAATACTTGATATTTGAAATTGAAAGACCATTCTGGACTTTCTAATATGGCAGCCCAAATTTAGCTATTCATTTATGAACTGGCTATACTATGTACAGATCATATTAAGTAGAGACATGGGAGCTGTACTTCCTCTGACCTTTTCAGCTGTGTGTTTTACAATATTTCATCTCGAAAAAAATGAAAAAACTGTTCAAATTTGTAATCTTGACAATATCCAAAAATACCACCCAAACCTATTAATGTGTATCTATGTTTTAAAACTATGTTTCTATGTATAATCTGCCACTATATTTTATATGTGGTAAACCATAATGGTTTTGACATGCTGATTATTTTAAATTATTACAAATCCATCAAATCTCTGAAGTCTCTAATGACATTAAATAGCCATAATGCCCATTTTAGCCAAAGACTATGGGCCTGACTTCCTAAAGGAATTGAGCATGTTCCCTTTTTATAAGGTAAATGGTCATTTTGTTTAGTGGATGAGGTGAAGCTGATTTCATTTCAATTATTTAATTACTGTATGATTATGTAAAATATTTTTTTTTTATTTGCTTTGCATGTGATTGGGTATTCAACAAAAACACAGCTTCACCTTATTTAATACGGTAAGTTAACAGTCTCTATTCCTTTATCAAATTAACCCAAATGTGCTGTCATATTGGAGAATGGCAGATCATTTTAGAATGGTTACCGTAAGTTACTTTTGTTTGGTCCTCATTTCCACTGCATGCACTAAAGCTGCTCATACACAGTTAGATTTTCGTTCAAACATTTGCACAGAAAATCAGAAATAGTTAATCAGAAAACCCTTTCTGGCCATCATCGAGTTAACTAATTTTTTTTCAAAAGACGTTATTATTTATTTCAGGTACTTGTATAACACTGTCAATTTACACAGCGCTTTACATATATATATTGTACATTCATATTAGTCCCTAACCCTCAAGGGCATACAATCTAAGGTCCCTAACTCACATTCATATACAAGGGCCAATTTAGACAGGATCCAGTTAACCTACCAGCATGTCTTTGGCGTGTGGGAGGAAACCGGAGTACCCGAAGGAAACCCAGGCAGGCACAGGGAGAACATGCAAACTCCAGGCAGGAGGTGCCGTGGCTGGGATTTGAACCGACGATCCTAGTACTGCCAGGCGGAAGTGCTAACCATTTAACCACTGTGCTGTCCATTTAAAACTTAATTTTAATAAAACATATTTCAATTAAAAATGCATGATGTTTCCTAAATGAAAAGCACCTTCACAGTCAAGCCATCCATATATGGATCCAAATGCCGAACCAGCCAAATTTCAATCCATGTATGGGCTACCAGCCTGACAGGCTTTTCCAAAAAGTGCCGCCAGCTAGCCGGCAATACTGACGATTGTATTCTGCCAGCAGGGAAGGCTCTCTTCTGGCAGAATACAATACCTCAGTGGGAGTGATTCCCCCATCCACATCAAATGTGCGGATGGGGGAATCGGTTCATTTTTTTTATTCAACCTGCTGGTTGAACAAATAAAATGTCAATCATGTATGGTTTGCATTAGAATTTTGTTGGTTTGAGAAAAAAATTTCCATCCAGCTCCTTCAGATAAGTATTGGAAAATTGAACGATGTTCTGAAAAAAAATTAAAATAAGGCAAAATTCTATTTGTGGATGACCATCTTAAATCATGCTGTGTGATAGTGAAATGTTTGGGGTGGCTCTAGGATGACTGGTGATCCTATCATAGCAGATGGAGCACTTACAGGAAGTTATTACATCTTTCTCGGTTTGTGATTTACCTTTTTTACAGTGATCACCACACATCAGCATTAACTTCCAATATTTTTTATCTCTTTGACATTGTTCACTTATTATTGTCATTTTATATCATCAATTTATATCCACATTCTCATACTATACCAAAATAGTAATTCTCTAAATCTAAAATATAAGTGCGCTCATTTCAAATGTCAGGGAAAGGAGCAAAAACGACATGCAAAATACAATAACCTATAACAACCAACCAGTAATGAACTTTCATTGATCCTGCAACAGTTAACATAAACCTGAATGGTTGCTTTGGGTTACAACACTTTACACACCATCAATGCTTTATGCACTTCTGAATAAGCTATACAGGTATCATTACTAATACATTTAATTGATATAAATTAGTCTATATATATTATAAACAATTACCCATTTAATTTTTTTTTATAAAAATTAAATAATAATAATAAAGAATATTAAAAATATTGAAATGTTATAAAATGATTTTTTTTGTATAAAAATAAAATAATAATAAATAATACTAAAAATATTGAAATGTTATAAAATGAAATGCAAAGCAAAGATAAAGTACGCAGATTGAAACAAAAATGCTAAATATTGTAAATGTTTTGCAGTGCAGAATAAAAAAAAACTTAAGCAAAAGTGCAGAATTGAAAAAAATGTAAAAAGCAAATAAAACTTGACTGGTAGTTCTGGACCCTTGCTCCACTTTTACTTAGTTTTCATTGCAAAATTCTTTTTAAAGCATCTGCTATATTCTTCTTCTTTTCTTTTTTTTATTATATCCTTTAATTTTATTTGCAATAAAGGTACCTAGATGAATGAACCACTCAAACGGAAAAAAAGATAAATATTAAGCAAAATCAGCATGCATGAACACCAGGTCTAGTCTAAAAAGTATCCATCAGTGCAGGTGTGAGATATATCTGTCTACTGCATAGAAAAAAGAGCCGCAGAGCTTACAGCTAATAAGCCCCCTTACCAGAATGGCCTCAGCTTGTTTAGGGTCGAGTTCAGAAACAGCCCTTCTGAAGCTTTTCCCAGCAGATCCGGAGATATTTGGTGTCGGCATCACTACTCTTTTAGAAGTGTCTTGTGTTGCACCTGCTCTCAGCCCCAGCTATATAGAGCCAGTCTGACGTCACCGCTTCCCCCCACCACAAGCCTGAGGGAGGAGGCTGGACACTGGTCCTCTATCTAGCACATCTCTCCCATACCTTGTGCAACCTGCAGACTATCTCTTTGCCTAACATTTCTGTCAGATCTCTGCAGATCATTCCTTAAACAGAGCTGTGCAGATCATTCCTCCTGCCAACTTCATAGAAGTGTAGATTTGCACTTGCCCCATGAAGACACAGATGAATCCTCATCTGCACTACACCTCTACTAATACATTTATACTATTATGATGATGATTGTTTGCCTGGTTGTTATGTTGATCCTACAGCTTCAGTACTTTCTGCATGCTTGTTCTGCATCAGTGACTTAACCACTTTAGTACAAGCCTGTCATACGTGAACAGCGTCATGCAACCCTATACCCAAATGATCTTTATATCACTTTTTTTAGACATGACTAAAAGAGCAAAATAAATGGATTTTTAAGGTAACCAAGGATTACAGCTAAATTCATAGCAAATTACAAAATAATTTTATTCATATATATTTTTTAAAAAGAGAACAAAAAAGTACAGTCATTAGAGTGCCTCCCCTCCCAGACCAATGTGCATTAACTTTTAGCATTTAGTAGGTGATTCTCATAATCAATCAACATCAAATTGTATTAAGGGACTGATGATAAAGTGGACAGAGGGATCCTTGCTCTTTTATGTGTTTCTCGGATATGCGGAATAAAGAACCTTTTATATTCTTTTTTTTTTAATTATATTAATAATTGTTTTTTAATTTTTATATGAATTTGGTTGTAATCCTTGGGTATATTAAAAGTCAGTTTATGTAACTCTTTAATCAGTTCTGTATAACACTAGGATGTGCTTCCTGTAACTTTGCATCCACGTTCTTATTAAAATAATTTTTTACACAGGTAGAGTATGGAGTGGTGGTATTTAAAAGCCACTGGGTTTTTATTTTGTTACTGTATAATGGAAAAAGGAACATAAATTAATAAAGAAAACTGTTCAATACTTTCTGTTATAAAACATACCAAATAAAAATGCAAAGAGTGATACTACATCTACGTTTACATTTTGAGAAGTAGTAATGCCATTGTGATCTAATTGTTTGTCACTTTTTTGTTAATGTGGAAACATATTGAGAGGGGTTAAATATGGGGCTCAGTAGTGGTACACTAGATACATTGAACGTACAGGTAATTCATGGGGGGGGGGGGGGGAGAAGATGAAGGGACTGATGTACAGGTCACATACAGTGGAAGAATGGAGATGAAGGGGTTATTCTACAGATTTGCAAGTAAAAGAAGGTGAAGAGGTTATGGTTATAGGAAGAGGTTTGGGTTTGAATCCCAAACAGGGCACTACCTGCATGGAGTTTGCCTGTTCTTGTGTGATTGTGTGTTTTTCCTCCAAGTCCTTTGGTTTCCTCCCACACTCCAAAGACATACTGGTAGGTTAATTAGCTCCTGTCTAAAGCCGGACATACAGGTGAAACTCAAAAAATTAGAATATCGTGCAAAAGTTAATTTATTTCAGTAATGCAACTTAAAAGGTGAAACTAATATAAGAAATAGACTCATTACATGCAAAGCAAGATAGTTCAAGCCGTGATTTGTCATAATTGTGATGATTATGGCTTACAGCTCATGAAAACCCCAAATCCACAATCTCAGAAAATTAGAATATTACATGCAATCAATAAAACAAGGATTGTACATAGAACAATATCGGACCTCTGAAAAGTAGAAGCATGCATATGTACTCGGTACTTGGTTTGGGCCCCTTTTGCAGCAATTACTGCCTCAATGTGGCGTGGCATGGAGGCTATCAGCCTGTGGCACTGCTGAGGTGTTATATACGGAAGACCAGGATGCTTCAATAGCGGCCTTCAGCTCTTCTGCATTGTTCGGTCTCATGTCTCTCATCTTTCTTTTGGCAATGCCCCATAGATTCTCTATGGGCTTCAGGTCAGGTGAGTTTGCTGGCCAATCAAGCACAGTAATCCCACAGTCATTGAACCAGGTTTTGGTGCTTTTGGCAGTGTGGGCAGGTGCCAAGTCCTGCTGAAAAATGAAGTCAGCATCCCCATAAAGCTCGTCTGCGGAAGGAAGCATGAAATGCTCCAAAATCTCCTGGTAGACGGCTGCATTGACCCTGGACTTAATGACCAACACCAGCAGATGACATGACTCCCCAAATCAACACAGACTGTGGAAACTTCACACTGGACTTCAGGCATCTTGCAGTGTGTGCCTCTCCATTCTTCCTCCATACTCTGGATCCTTGGTTTCCAAATGAGATGCAAAAGTTGCTCTCATCAGAAAAGTGGGACTTTGGACCACTGAGCAACAGACCAGGTCTGTTTTTCTTTAGCCCAGGTAAGACACTTCTGACGTTTGTTGTTCCGGAGCTTCTTGACATGAGCAATACGTCATTTGAACCCCATGTCCAGGAATCCGTCTGTGTGTGGTGGCTCTTGATGCACTGACTCCAGCCTCAGTCCACTCCTTGTGAAAGTCCCCAACACTTTTGAATGACCTTTTCCTGACAATCCTCTCCAGGCTGTGGTTATCCCTGCTGCTTGTGCACTTTTTTCTTTCACACTTTTCCCTCCCACATAACTTTCTATTAATGTGCTTTGATACAGCAATTTGGGAACATTGAACTTCTTTTGCAATTACCTTTTGAGGCTTTCCCTCCTTATGGACGGTGTCAATGATGGTTTTCTGCACAACTGTCAGGTCAGCAGTCTTTCCCATGATTGTGATTCCTACTGAACCAGACTGAGAGACCATTTAAGGCTCAGGAACCCTTTGCAGGTGTTATGGCTTAATTAGCTGATCAGAGTGGGACACTTTGAGCCTAGAATATTGCACCTTTTCACAATATTCTAATTTTCTGAGATTGTGGATTTGGGGTTTTCATGCGCTGTAAGCCATAATTATCACAATAATGACAAATCACGGCTTGAACTATCTTGCTTAGCATGTAATGAGTCTATCTCATATATTAGTTTCACCTGTTAAGTTGCATTACTGAAATAAATTAACTTTTGCACAATATTCAAATTTTTTGAGTTTCACCTGTATAATCCAGTGGTTGCCACTGTTGTGCACAGTGAATATTTCATTTTGTCATTTCAATGAGACACAAGTTTGTCTTCAAGAGGGGAATCCCTCCCGCAAAGTTATTGTGTTCTCCTGAACTGCTGTAGCCGCTGGCAATATTCACTAGAAAAATCCGACATGCTGATTCTGTGGTCCCCCAGCCCCTACTATGCCCAACTCCCACAGCTGATGCCCACCCCTCACAACCTTTTCTAAATCTCATCTCCACCACCTGGGAAACAATTCCACTGCTGACGTTCACCCCTCATCTCCTCACGCCAAACCTCACCCTTCAATTTGGGACGTGCACAAACTGGAACTTGCAGCTTGATTACCCTTGGCCACATCTTATCTAACTGAACTCTACCCATCCTGATCCTAAGCACGAGAACTCTAGCTACAGGAAGATTCAACAATGAGATACGCTACTGCACGCTAGACTATCTGCAACCAAGCACCCTGAGAAACTTTCCACCACGCCTCCATATCTAATATAAACTGTGCACTTAAAATATTAAAATATAATAAATTTAATATCAATCATGTGGATATTAACCAATAAAGATGTCCAAAACCAATAATTGTGTTCCCACAAAAAACAATAAATATATAATAAACAAATATATTATTACACCTTCCCTTTAAATGCTATTACACCCGCTACACACTGTGCACAGCAAAAAAAAAAAATATATATATATATATATACCGTATTTTTTGCTCCATAAGACGCACCTGACCATAAGATGCGCCTAGATTTTAGAGGAGAAAAACAAGAAAAAAAATATTCTGAACCAATGGACTGCAAACATAGTACAGGAAATGACCAGAGACTGCAGACACAGTACAGCAGCTGACCAGAGACTGCAGACATAGTTCAGGAGATCACCAGAGACTGCAGACATAGTACAGGAGATCACCAGAGACTGCGACACAGTACAGGGGATGACCAGAGACTGCGGACATAGTACAGTAGATGACCAGAGACTGCGAACACAGTACAGAAGATGACCAGAGACTGCAGACATAGTAAAGGAGATGACCAGAGACTGCGGACATAGTACAGGAGATGACCAGAGACTGAGGACACAGTACAGGAGATGACCAGCGACTGCAGACACAGTACAGGAGATGACCAGAGACTGTGGACACAGTACAGGAGATGACCAGAGACTGCGGACATAGTACAGGAGATGACCAGAGACTGCGAACACAGTACAGAAGATGACCAGAGACTGCAGACATAGTAAAGGAGATGACCAGAGACTGCGGACATAGTACAGGAGATGACCAGAGACTGAGGACACAGTACAGGAGATGACCAGCGACTGCAGACACAGTACAGGAGATGACCAGAGACTGTGGACACAGTACAGGAGATGACCAGAGACTGCGGACATAGTACAGGAGATGACCAGAGACTGCGAACACAGTACAGGAGATGATCAGAGACTACGGACATAGTACAGGAGATGACTAGAGACAGCGGACACAGTACAGGAGATGACCACAGACTGCAGACATAGTACAGGAGATGACTAGAGACTGCGGACATAGTACAAGAGATGACCAGAGACTGCAGACACAGTACAGATGACCAGAGACTGCAGACACAGTACAGATGACCAGAGACTGCAGACACAGTACAGGGGATGACCAGAGACTGCGGACAGTACAGGGGAGTACCAGAGACTGCAGACAGTACAGGAGATGACCAGAGACTGCAGACAGTACAGGGGATGACCAGAGACTGCAGACAGTACAGGGGATGACCAGAGACTGCAGACAGTACAGGGGATGACCAGAGACTGCAGACAGTACAGGGGATGACCA